ATAAACCATCACAAAACATGAAATCACGTCAAAGTGATGATGTTTGTATGTATCTTCGAAGTGGCGGTAACATTTATATATATAGAGATGCATTACGTAAAAAAAACGATATAAACAGTACAAAGATTGAAACTTCGTATCTTATATGTATATATGCGTACGGGTTTTAACACGTACGCATATTTACGTATATTCACGTACGTATTTTTAACGTATATATGCGTACGGGTTTTAACCCATACGCATATTTACGTATCTTCACGTACGTTTTACGTATGTATTTTATACGTATATATGTGTACGGGTTAAAACTCGTACGCATATTTACGTATCTTCACGTATGTATGTACGTATATATGTGTACGTATGTATATACGTATATGTATACCTACTTACATTTACGTAAAAAAAGCGATATAAATTGCGGTAACGTATATATATATATATATAGATGCATAATGTAAAAACAACCGATATAAATTGCGATAACGTATATATATATATAGAGATGCAAAACGTAAAAAAACGATATAAATTACGGTAACATATATATATATATATATATATGCATAACGTAAAAAAAACGATATAAATTGCGGTAATATATATATATATATATATATTACGTAAAAAAAAGCGATATAAATGGTACAAAAATTGAAAGTTCGTATTTTAACGTATATAAAACCCGTACGCATATTTACGTATATTCACGTACGTATTTTTAACGTATATATGCGTACGGGTTTTAACTGCCACTTCGAAGATACACACAAACATTATCACTTTGACGTGATTTCATGTTTTGTGATGGTTGATTGTGTTTAATGTGTTAAAGATTGTAAGAGTAGAATATATGAGAAGAGAAATGAAAGGGAATGTGTGAAAAATTATGAAATAGGAGGTTGATATTTATAGTGAAATTGGTATTACAAAAAAAAGAAAAAAAATTAAAAAAAAAAGCCTGGATCGCCTCCAGGGGCGATCCGATGACGTGGCTCACGCCCAAGTGGAAAAAAAAAATTAAAAAAAAAATTTCTAAGAAAAAGGCCAGATCGCCCCCACTAGTACGAATCGCCACCGAGGAAGATCCGTGTGGTTAGTTTTATAAAACCCCTAAAAACTGATTATTTTGTGTAAAAAATTGTATAGAATGGTTATTTTCATCATTTTCCCTTTACTAAAACCACATATTTGTAGTATTTATAACAAGTACACCTTAGACCAAAAATAATTAAAATAGAATAAAGAACTTTATATTAAATGAAGAAGAAGAAAACAAAAGAATTCCCCCACCCACCATCATCGTATATCTAAACTAACTCCTTTCATAATTTAATACCCAAAGAAACTCTTTTTTTTTGTTTTTATTTAATATTTGAAAATATCAAAAACTATTTTCAAGGAACAAAATTCTTCTTTTATATCAGTGGGGCCCACGGTTAACCATCTCCATGTACTGATTCAGGGACTCCTGCCTCTGCAACCGCATGTCATCATTAAACTTCTTTATGAACGCTTCAACTCGCCGATTCAACTCGTCGTGACTCATTGATCCCTCTTTCCTCAACTTCCCTCCCGACGCCGGCGACGAATTTCTCGACGACGGATGTGGATACTGATTCTCGTTCTCGTAGTTTATACGGTCCTTGAACGTCTCTGATTTCTTCACCACCTTCGTCTTCGCTGCCGCTGGGGAGTCGTCGGACTGGTTGTCGCGGTGGACGTTTCCGAAGGTGTCCGACTTCCGGAGGTGCCTCGTCAACGGCATGTGACGGCCATCGGTTATCATCTTCCACGTGCTCTCCATCGTTTCGTGCTTCTTAGGCTTCAGCACCCTCAGTGCTCTGGCACCTGTTGAAATATGATGTCGTTAATATTCTCCTGCCGTCGAGGCGGCGACGATCAAAGTTAATATTGCAATATTTGAATTAGAAATGCAAAATGCATTGCAGAGATGTTATTTTATGCAAGAAATTGTTCACGATGCTTAATTAATTACCTTCTGGACTGGTTTTTGTCGGTTTACGATGGTGAGCGAATCTGGACGTTACGAGTTGTTTCTCTTTGACTGTCAAAATGAACTCCGATTGAACCTTTTTTGGAGGTGGAGGAGAGTTAATTATATTCTGCGGTGGATTCCACGAGGATCTCGACACAACAAACTCATCCTCAACTCCTCTAACAACCTCTGAACCACTCACAGCCACCGTTTCCACATCCATAACCCCACGTTTACTCTCATACACCACTGGAGGCTCCACCATTACGCTAGGCTCACTATCGTAAGCGACCGTAGGATGCTCCACACAACCGAAACTCGGATGAATCGTCACCGGAGGCAAGCCAGACGTTAGATCTGACGGTGAAAGAGCGTTTGGTGGATCAACCTGCTGCTGAGATTGATTCTCCTGGTGACGGTTGTGTTGGAAGCGTGAGGAGGCGGCGATGGTGATGATGATTCCGTTTATGACAACATAGAGATACGGAGGCTTGAGCCAGGAGACGACAACGTACCAAATCACAGGGAGGTCGTATACGGCGAAGTTCAACATCAATGGAACGGCTAATTTCATCGCCATAGCTGTAGATACAACGCCAACGGAGACTAACAGAACTTTCAGAGAGAGAATCCATGAATTACTTGACGAAGACGACGCCATTTTTGAATTTTCCCTTCGAATCGAATCTTCTTCGCTTCGTGAGGTGTGTGAAGTGTGTGTGTGAGAGAAAGAGAGAGTGAGAGAGAGAGAGAGATGGGATTAAGGATGCAAGCGAACGAGATGCAACGGTATAAAAATAGGAAAGTTTTACATACTGGTCCTTCGAGTTTTGATTTCTAGTGTATCTGGTCCCTTTAGTTTTGAAATTCCGAGATTACACCATAAGAACTAAAATTATTCACGATCGTTTCCTTGACCATTACTAACGACTAGCTTATTAAACGACCAAAAGGACCCTCCTCTTGTTCATTCCAAAAGAGTATAATTTTTCCTTCTACAACATTAACTTATTGTTTGTTTGTCCATGTATATCATTTCAGTGGTCAATTCATTGTCATTGATGATAATATAGATAAAATAAACAAAAACATTGGTATCATTAGAGCCTTGTAAGTACCTGTCGTCTTTTATCCTAATGTCAAGGTTATATTTGATAAACTAGTTGATACGCTGGCTTATGAGTGATAAGCTAGTTGATGATAAATCACATTTGATAAAAACTAACTGATAAGCTAGTTAACAAATGTAAAAGGATATGCTTAAAATTTACTCAATTCTAACATTATATAACTAAAACAAACACTGCTTAAAATTACTCGGTTCTAACAATATATAATTAAAAAATCCCTAATATATTTGTAATATTGTAATGTTTTAATTAAAACAAACCACTAACATATTTCTATCATTATAATATAACTAAAACAAACCACCAACAAGTTGCATCATATTAAAATACGTACGTAACAACAAAAATAATAAGATTTTTTAACATCATATTAAAATAACTAACAACGAGAATAATAACAATCCACTTACACATTTCAATTACTTAGGTTTAATAGGCATTCCTTGCATTGGTATCATGTTTTCAATGTTGTTATGAATTTCTCGCATCTCATCGCATGACCCTCGCATGGTCCTTTATTAAAACTTGTTTCGCCATCTAACTCTTCCACATGTATGTATTCACATGTTGTTGAAAACCATATCTTCTGCTTCATTTCTTGTAATATGATTATGAAGAGCAAATCTCACCATTATAACATTTATTTGTGTTGTCTCACTAAACTTTAGCATTTTGTTCAATATTTTCCACCTCTTCTTCAAGATTGCAAATGATCGTTCGATACAACTCCGAAGAGATGAATGTACAGGGTTGAAAGCCTCTTCAACATTAGATGGAAGCACATGTTCAAATTGTGATTGGTGATATCTAATACGAGTATATGGTGTTAAATATCATTTCCGGTCAGGATATCATTTGGTTACTATGTAATATTTTTTTAGGGACATCTTTATATAATGATAATATAAAGCCAGTTTGTTTGTAATTATAATTCAAAATAAATAAAAACAGATTACTAGATAATCGTATTAATATAATACAAATATACGTTGTTATACATAAAAAAAAAAAAAAAACCCTTCTACTTATCGTGGCAATACATGTATCATATATCTCATATTCTAATTTCGAGTATAATTATGTATATTTGATTTGGTTGTTATATATATATATATATATATATATATATATATATATTTCTTCTGGGTTGTGAAAAGGATTTATATAAAAAGGTTTTGACCCAATTGTGTGGTTCCAGTGAAATGAAATTTGTTGGATAAGGTAAAGGATGCATCAAAAATTAATAATCAAGAATGATGAGGGGGTTTTTAGATAAATGTAAAAGTTGAGGTGGGGTAAGTGCAACTTCTATTAATAAGAATGGATGAGGGACGCGGTTTGAAGATTGAGATGAAAGGAGAACCGTTGGATTGATAGTTTTGAATTTGTAAAGTGGATGCTTGGTTGGCTTACTTGTCCTTCCCGCTTTTATGCCACTTGGCTCAATGGCCATTTTCAATAAATTCGAAAAAATTAAAATTTAACTTTCGTATTTAAACTTACGAAAAATTGTGCCAAAATGAAAATAATTTTCACCTAATTTTTATTTTGGAAAATCAATTTTTAATATCATTATTTTGGGGAGTCAATTTGCATCTAATACCTATTTTGGGGAACCAACTTTTAAAATCGTCATTTTGGGAAATCAACTTATACCTGATTCTTATTTTAGGGAACCAACTTGCAAAATAATTATAGAAAAATAACTAAAATTCGTTTTTTTCCAAAAATTAATGCAATAAAATCGATTTTTCATTTCAAATCTCGTTTTTTTAATTTAAATATCAAATTGAACATTTTAAAAAAAATCCAAATTACCACAATAAAAATTGTTTTTTACTAATGCAAAAAAAGTCAAGTTAATAAAAAATAATAATTAATACAATAAAAAATAAATATTAAATATCACATTCAAGATTTTTATATCCAACCAATCTGTATTAATTAAATTTTTTCTATTAAATTGATTTTTTTCTATTAAATTGATTTTTTTGCATTAGTAAAAAATAATTTTTATAGTGGTAATTTAATTTTGTTTTAAATGTTTCATTTGATATCTGAATTAAAAAAACGAGATTTAAAATAAAAAATAGATTTTATTGCATTAATTTTTGGAAAAAAACAAATTTTAGTTATTTTTCTATAATTATTTTGCAAGTTGGTTCCCCAAAATAGGAATCAGGTGCAACTTGGTTCTCCAAAATAGAAATCAGGTGCAAGTTGGTTCCCCAAAATGACGATTTTGAAAGTTGGTTCCGAGAATAGGAATCAGGTGCAAGTTGGTTCTCCAAAATGACGATTTTAAAAGTTGGTTCCTCAAAATAGTAAAAAGTCAAAAATATCAACAAATTTTTGCATTTTGAATGATTTAAAAGGGTGTTTGGGGTTTGCTTATTTGAAACTAATTATGTTTTTTTATAAAAGTTTTTATTAACTTATTATAAGTTAGAATGATTTAACTTCTTTAAAAACTTCTTATTACCGGTTTGGCACCGGTATAAGTTGTTTATCCAAATACTTAAAAGTGCTTATTACCAGTGTCACACCGGAATAAGTCAATAATTTATTTTTATAAGCAATCACAATCACCCCATAAATACTTTACTTTATGTTTTAAATTAATAAACCATTTAAACTTTTACATTTTGAATGATTAAGTTTATGGACAATTTTTTGAGTAAATAAAATCATCAAACTTTTAAAAATCAGTTGCCCATATATTTTAACCAAAAAACATTCCGTAACCGACTATGAAGATTTTAAAGTAAAAAAAAAAATCATAAATCAATTTTATCTTTCCACAACCTACGACACTCAAACCTTGCACCTATCGACATCGCTCCCCCCACGCTACCTCTCGTCGTTTGTTCTCCATACCACCCATCCGCCATCGTTTGCCTCTACCATCGATTTCCCTCTTAATTTATTTCTTTGTCTTTCGATTCTCCATGTTCTACAACAATTTAATGGAATACATATACATAGATCAATAAAGAGGGATAATAAAAAAAAATGATGGCAGGGCCAACGACGGTTGGGCATTGATAGAGACAAATGAAGATGGGATGGAGAGGAGCGGCGAGATGGAGTGATGACGTTAAATATAAGAGTTTTGAATGAGTATAATTTGGAAACAGTAAGACTGGTCTTTTTTCTACTTTAAAATCTTTCTAACCGATTGCATCTAACTTTAAAGGCTAAAAGTTTAATAGTTTTTTATTAAAAAAATAATTTATTCAAGAACTTAATTATTCAAAATGCAAAATTTCAATGGTTTATTCATTAAAAAAAGTTTAACGACTTAATTATTCCGTTGATTTTTTGTTAACTTTCCTTTTAAAGTTATTAAGTTTTTTTAATAAATACCTTGAACTTATTGACATCAAACAAATAAAATTTTCAACTCATTAAAATCAATAAACGCGACGAACTTCCATGCTCAAAATTTCCTTAGACGTTTTTTTAACCAACACATCCTTACAATTATTAAACAAAATGTATATACCATTTCTCCTTCAACGTATTATTAGATCAGTAACAAACAATAAAAAAAATGATTATATATCATTTATATTATTCATTATTTATTTTTCATATTCAATGAGAATTATAAGATAAGCTCAAATACATTTACTTTTCAGATTTGAATAACAACCACATGATTATAACAAACACATGTCATTTTCATTTTGAATCCGAAATTAAAATTATAGTTAATAAAATGGTGTATTTTTTTTTCGTTTTATTGGTTCATTGTCATTTGGAACCGATTTGTTGATACATGGAACGAAATTTGGTATATCTTTTTTTCATTTTACAAGTGTAAAGTTTATTTGTTCAAAAAATGTGGGTTCTTCATTAAACTAACTCCCCAAAAAATCCAAATTTCAAATATAACCTATAAAAAACTTATTTCAAAAAATGACCTCCATTTAGCACTACACACAGGTGCATGGAGGGATGTTGCAAAAAAAAAAAAATTCGAATGATGTGACTTCTCAGCCTTCTATAGGATCACTCTGGCTCGACATGACCATGCATGCATCGCATGACCCTTACGCACCGGCTGGTGCGTGGTGCGTAAGGGACCCACACCCAAGTTGCTTTTTTCATTTTCAATATGCACCTTCCCGATACAACATTTATCTTATTTTGTTTTTTTCTTCCTCGAACCCCATTATATATACAAACCTATATTTCTCAATCACCAACACAAAACCATGACTTTCATCTTCACTCTAGGACTATTTTTCCACATTCTATGTCAAACCTTAATATAATCTCATTTTTACACCATCGACTTTAAATATTCAGCTACCTCTTTCACTGTTATCGACTGACATTTTATATGGTAAGTATTCTTACATTAAACAAAAAACATATTTTTATTTCAGGCTAATTTGGATTCATATGTTATTTTTGTAACATCTTTATATTATATCTACCAGGAGGATTATTATGAAGCATTTGTGAATATAAAATCAAGTATTGAAATTTCCAATAAAATTTTGAGGGCATTCCGGAGGTCGACAAACATACCACAA